TGCTCTACGAGGGACCCCCTGATGATGAGGCTGCCATAGGTACGATGAGCTGCTGCTTTTCTCCCGGGTGTCTCTTCACAAGTGTTCTGACACACCAGTATCCATCTTGTTCTCCCAGCACCCAGCTCGGTAGCTACTGTAATTCTTGAGTCTGTGGCTTTTCTGGTATGGATCAAACAAGCTTACGAGCTTTAATCTGGAGGACTGAGCTTGTTAAGTAACTGAAGGGTGGCCAGGGTATATGCCAAAGGCTCAGGCTGAGCTTGTATTCATTTAAAACATCTCTTGGTGGTGTGATCTTCCTGGTTGGGCTGGCCAGCTGTCCAGACAGAGGTCAGCAGGCTGGGACAACAGTGGATACAGGTCTTGATTTGGGGGTGGGGCACAGGGCATTTATGCTAGATGCTGGAAATGCTACTGAGCTAACATCTCTCCTTCCTCCCAGGTATTAAGAACTGTGACCCCAAAGGCCCCCTGATGATGTACATCTCTAAAATGGTGCCAACCTCTGACAAGGGACGTTTCTATGCTTTTGGACGTGTCTTCTCTGGTCTCGTCTCAACTGGCTTGAAAGTCAGAATCATGGGACCAAACTACACCCCTGGCAAGAAGGAGGATCTGTACCTGAAGCCAATTCAAAGGTCAGTCCTGACTGGAGTGTGATCTGTGGTTCAGATTTGTGGTTCTAGTACTTTATTGGGTCTCTTCTTGTCTCTGAGGCTAGGCAAGGCGCTTGGCCATGGACTTCAACCCTGCTGCTGAACTCCAGGGTAGTGCCTGGCAGGGCTTCCTTTTACAGACTTCATCAAAACGACTTTCTCTTTCACCAGGACCATTCTCATGATGGGCCGTTATGTTGAACCCATCGAGGACGTGCCTTGTGGAAACATTGTTGGTCTGGTTGGTGTCGACCAGTTCCTTGTGAAGACTGGAACCATCACCACCTTCGAGCACGCTCACAACATGAGAGTCATGAAGTTCAGCGTCAGCCCCGTTGTGCGTGTGGCCGTGGAAGCCAAAAACCCAGCTGACCTGCCCAAGCTGGTGGAGGGACTGAAGCGTCTTGCCAAGTCTGACCCCATGGTGCAGGTGAATGATCGAAATGGCTTCAGGGACAAGAGGCTTCTGCCTTAAATTGTGGTTGTACTGGGGGTGCTGGCAGGAAAGTCTTGAGTATTGGTCCCAGCTCTACCAGAGTGGGAAGGAATATTGCATTTCACCTCGGGGTTGGTGCCTAGATCAGTGGAAAGAGCATCTAAAAGTAGCTTTGAGTCAAAGACAAAAATAGGAGACAGTTGCTAGTACTTTATGTGCAAGAGCTTTTGTGGCATTGCAGTCGAAAGCCTGACCTGGTGTATGAATGGTCTTTTCAGTGCATCATTGAGGAGTCTGGGGAGCACATCATCGCCGGTGCCGGGGAGCTGCACTTGGAGATCTGCCTGAAGGATCTGGAAGAGGACCACGCCTGCATTCCTATTAAGGTAGAGGGGCTGCAGTGACAGAGCTGCAGGTGAGCTCTGCTGAGCTGCGGATTGGTTGGTGTCTCACTGTACTTTGCTCTTCTGTCACTGCAGAAATCGGATCCTGTTGTGTCCTACCGTGAGACAGTCAGCGAGGAATCCAACGTGATGTGCCTTTCCAAGTCCCCCAACAAACACAACAGGCTCTACATGAAGGCCCGGCCTTTCCCCGATGGTTTGGCTGAAGACATCGACAAGGGCGAGGTCTCTGCACGCCAGGAGCTGAAGCAGCGAGCTCGTTACCTGGCTGAGAAGTACGAGTGGGATGTCACTGAAGCCAGGAAAATCTGGTGCTTTGGTCCTGACGGCACCGGCCCCAACATCCTGACCGACATCACCAAGGGGGTGCAGTACCTGAACGAGATCAAGGACAGCGTGGTGGCCGGCTTCCAGTGGGCAACAAAGGAGGTAAGGGCTGGTTACAGCAGGACTGGGGTCGCTCCGGGGTTACTGCCTGCCTGTCTTTAAAGAAAATTTGGAAAAACTGTCACAGGCAGTGCAACGTATTTAGAATTCAGAAGTATTTTAGGATAAGTGAAACTTGGTGACAGCTGGAGTTGAAGATGTCATACCAGTTTAGGCACACACGACCTGAAGACAAAAAAGCTTTCTCCCAGGACTGCAGAGAAACTCATCATGGCAGCATGTACTTAACATTTTTAAAGGCTTTTCAGAGAGCAAAATGCAATGGCAGGGACAGAAACTGTTGAGTAACACAGCTGTTACCCATCAAAAGAAAATGGAAGGTTACTCAGAGAGCATCAGCTCGTCTACCAGTTATATTTTCAGGACTAGACAGGAGATGACTCCAAAATAACCAGTTGACAGGTAGACTGGGAAGAGCAATAGGAGAAGGTTTTTTTCCTGTTTAAGTTAGTCTCAGTCTGAAGGAGAAAATGCTATGTCAACAACTTTTTTTTTCACATGACTGGGACCAATAAAAAAACCTTCCTGGCCCAGTACTTGGGTTGCAGCATCATTAAATGTGTGTTAGCACTTCTGATGTGAACCTCGGAGCTGCTGCATGAAGATACTGGTATAAATGGTGTAAGCAGAGGGACTGGAGCTTTCTGGTGGGGAACATCGTGCTGTCCCCTGACATGGTGGTGTTTGACCCCCACCCCGTTCTGCTTTCTCAGGGGGTCCTGTGCGAGGAGAACATGCGTGCTGTGCGTTTCGACGTGCATGACGTCACCCTGCACGCCGACGCCATCCACCGTGGAGGGGGCCAGATCATTCCCACTGCCAGGAGATGCCTGTATGCCTGCGTGCTCACCGCCCAGCCCCGGCTCATGGAGCCCATCTACCTGGTGGAAATCCAGGTGAGGAACCTCTGCTCGGCCCAGAAGATGAAGAAAATCAAAGTTGGGTGATTTGTGGTCCTGACACCTCTCTTTTTTGCAGTGCCCAGAGCAGGTGGTGGGTGGCATCTACGGTGTGCTGAACAGGAAGCGTGGCCACGTGTTTGAGGAGACCCAGGTGGCTGGTACCCCCATGTTCGTGGTCAAGGCCTACCTGCCCGTCAACGAGTCCTTTGGTGAGTGAGCTGGCCCTGGGTGCTCCCTCGTGTGCTCCTGGAGCTTGATACCAACCCTGCGAGGGAGGGAAGGAAGGAAAGAAGGAGATCTTTTGTGTCCAGCTGTCTCGCAGGGATCCTTCAGATTGAAAAAGATCTTTAAGATGGAGTCCAACTGCCACCACTAAGCCATGTCCCCAAGTGTCACTTCAATATGGCTTTCAAATCCCTCCAGGGATGGTCACTCAGCAGCTTCCCTGGGTGGTCTGTTGCAGTGCTTGATAACCTTTTTGATGAAGAAATTCTAATACCCACCTTAAACCTCCCCTGGTGCAACCTGAGGCTGTTTCCTCTCATCCCATTGCTTGTTGCGTGGGAAAAGAGACCCGACATGGCAGAAGGGTCCCAACCACAGGGGGGCACCTGTAAAGCTCTCTAGTCATGAGCAGGGACGTCTTCGACTCGAGCAGGTTGCTCTGAGCTCTGTCCGACTGGGCCTCGAACGTTTCCAGGGATGGGGCATCTCCCACCTCTCGGGGCAGCCTGAGGGTTTCACCACCCTCGGCGTAAAAAAATTTCTTCCTCCTATCTAGTCTGTGTGTCCCCTCTTGGAGTTAAAAACCAGCACCACTTGTCCTGGCACTACAGGCCCTGCTGAGGTCTGTCCTCCTCTTTCTTCTAAAGACTTCTTGAAGTAGTGAGAGGCTGCAAGGAGGTTTTTCTGGAACCTTCTCTCCTCCACTCCCATCTCTCCTGCCGTTCCACTGTGGTTGGGACGTGCAGGTGGTGACCCAGAGCACGTGTTCCTCTAGAGGTGACACTAAACTGTGCCCATTCCCTCTCCACCTCACAGTTTCTCTTTTTTTTTTTCTGACAGGTTTTACAGCAGATTTGAGGTCCAACACAGGAGGCCAAGCTTTCCCCCAGTGCGTCTTCGACCACTGGCAGATCCTGCCCGGGGACCCCTTCGACAGCGCCAGCCGTCCCTGCCAGGTGGTGGCCGAGACCCGCAAACGTAAAGGGCTGAAGGAAGGAATCCCCGCCCTCGACAACTTCCTCGACAAACTCTAATTAAATACGTTGGACTGTGACCGGGGAGGGGGGGTGGGGGTGGGTTGTGTGTGTGAAAAATTTAATGAATTAGCGTTAACACCCGTGCGAAGGGGTAGACGCCTGTGACCACCATCTCTTTGCATTATTAATCGGTTTCATAGCGATTTGAGACTTTAAGAAAAAAAAAACAAAACAACAAAGCCTTATAGGTTTCCGTCTTGCACATGACTCGTCTTTTTGCCATTGTAACTAAAACATTTCCACTAGATTTGCCCGATTCTGTATTTATTTGACTCAAAAAAAAAAAATAAAAGCGAACCCGGGGGGTAAATCCATACAAAAAGAGGCAGGGTCTAGGGCTGCCCGCCTGCAGTGTGACTGTCCGTCGTGCCCATCGCCGCCTGTATTAGTGCCACTGGAATTAATAAAATCGGATCATGGTGATCGCATGTGATTTTTTTTTTTTTTATTTTTTTTTT